AGAGAAGTCAGCTTAATTTTTGACTAGCATTTTACACTCAGAAAGGAAGGTGAATAATGAAAATGTGTTAGACATTTTTTAACATTTTATTTTACWTTTAAAGCCCCCAGTAGTTTCTCATTGGGTCACAGCAGTTGAATGAAAATTACATGATTTCTGTACAAAATACACRAAATTACAAAATATAAAAATAAAAAATTACAAAATTAAATAAATAAATAAAAAACAGGTGAATTTTCAGTTGCAGACTCACTGAATTTTGAGAATTTGCAACCAAGTGATCAGCAAGCTATGTGGGCCACATTTTGCTCAGCCTGTTTTTGTGTTCACTGTTTAGAATACACAAACAAGACCTTGATCTGAGAATTTCTACAAATATTTCAGGACATCATCAAACACATTTAAACTAGGGATGCACTGATATGAACATTTCGACGATGATATAGATATCTGACATTATTGCTGTTATGGATGGTAAATGGTAAATGGACTGTACTTATATAGTGCCTTTCTATCCATCCAGGACACTCAAAGCACTTCACACTGCAGACATTCACCCATGCACACACACACATTCACACACTGATGATGGCAAACTACAATTGTAGCCACAGCTGCCCTGGGGCGCACTGACAGAGGCGAGGCTGCCGTACACAGGCGCCAGCGGACCCTCTGACCACCATCAGTTATGATTGATAACAATGAGCAGACCTTTGACATGGCTCTCTACTTCAATTAATCCTGGCTGCGCAGCGTCACTATCTTTATCATGATCAAACAGATACCACTCGACCAACTAGCTCCACTCCCAAAACAGTAACACAAAGCTAAAAAAGTGGGAAATCAATATCGGCCCAGTTTTACTTATCGGACTAATATTCTAAAAAATGGTAAATGGCTTGAACTTATGGCCCCTTATCAAGTCCACATGGACTCTAAGGTGCTTTACACTTCAGGCATTCACCCATTGACACACTGATGGTGGTAAGCTACACTGTAGCCACAGCCGCCCTGGGGCACACGGCTGTCATGAACCTCTGACCAACATCAGTAGGCAAGGCGGGTGAAGATTAGGTTTTTTCCTACTTTTATATTTTTTACTTTAGCTTTTAGCTAGAATTTAACAATTATTTAACTTTTAGGCAAATTTTAGCTTGAATTCTGCTACTTTAGCAAGTATTTTGCTATTTTTAGTGAACATTTAGCTGTTTTTAGCAAATATTTTTTTTCTACTTACTGTTAGCTTTCACCTACCATTCAGTTACYTTTAGCTTTTAGCTAGCCTTTTGCCACATTTAACTTTAAAGTGCCTGTGACATCAAATTTTTGTCAYAAAWTTGAATGCATTTTTGGAGAGATAATATTGAYAATATATTGCAAAAAAGATTTCACACAGCTGAGATAAACAGTTGTTGAGATATTTGCATGTAGAGCAACAGGAAGTGATGTCAAAGGGGAATGTCTGCATGTGAACAGAGGCCAACAACACAGAGTGTGGAGAAGAATATATTACTTTTAGATTATATCAGAGAGATGAAGATTCAAAGTTCAAATAATATTGTTTTAATAGACAAAGACCAGGGAGTTTCCTTTCTTAATGAGTTCTCCTTTTATGTCACATCCTGCTGCACATCYGGCTGAGCCAAATTTGAAAGAAAATATACTGGTTATGTGGCTCAATGGGTAAAATCATCAAGTTTCTTAAATAAAAATGTCTTTTTTGTTTTTTGTATTTGAAGGATATGCACATCACAGGTACTTTAAGTCTTCTGTTAGGTTTACTAACTCAGTTTCAGCTTCTTCAGCAGACTCACTCAGTTAATATTTTTCTGTCTGTGTCTGTGTTTAGGGTTAATATTTACAGTCACAACTCAGACTGAATAAAAAACTTTGATTCTTACTTTGACTTTTTATTCTATTACAGAAAATATAACCTTTATATACATATAGAGATATWCAGTATCTCGTGTTTTGGCTTTRTACATTTTCCTGTATTTTTAGGCTAAGAAAGTAAAAAAAAA